AGCCATCCTATGAGGGAAATTCATAGCAGTGAATACTGACATTAGGAAAACAGAGCAAGCCCAATTAAACAACCTGATGCTGTACCTCAAGCTTCTCGAAAAAGAAGAGCAGGACAAACCCAAAGCTCATACAAGGGAGGGAATTATAAAGATCAGAGCAGAAATCAATGCAATGAGAACCATAAGAGAATGATACAAGAAATCAATGAGAACAATACAAGAAATCAATGAAGCCACGAGTTGGTTCTTTGAAAGGATCAACAAAATTGACAAACCCTTAGCCAACCTTATCAGAAAAAGAAAAGAAAAGGCCCAAATCCATGCAATCAGGAATGACAAGGCTGAAATTACAACGGACCCAGCAGAAATCCCGAGGATCATCACTACCTACTTTGAGAACCTATACACCAATAAGACGGAAAACACAGAAGAAACGGACAGATTCCTAGATGCATATGAATTACCAAAGTTGAACAAAGAAGACCTAAAAATTCTAAACAACCCAATATACATCAATGAAATTGAAAATGTAATTAAAAACTTATCAACTAAGAAAAGCCCGGGCCCTGATGGCTGCACTGCCGAATTCTACAAGACATTTAGGGAGAAACTACTGCCACTACTATTTAAACTCTTCAATGGAATTGAAAGGGAAGCAATACTCCCAAATTCATTCCTGGGAGCAAGCATCACCTTGATCCCCAAAGCAGAGAAAGACGCAACCGAAAAGGAGAACTGTAGGCCAATCTCACTAATGAACATAGATGCAAAAATCCTTAATAAGAGAATGGCAAGCAGAATGCAGAAGATCATCAAGAAGATTATACACCCTGACCAAGTGGGATTCATCCCAGGGATGCAGGGATGGTTCAACATATGCAAATCAATCAGTGTAATACACTATATCAATAGAGCCAAGGACAAAAGCCATATGATCATCTTAATAGATGCAGAAAAGGCATTTGACAAAATCCAACATGCACTTATGATAAAAATCCTACAAAAACTTGGAATAGATGGTCTCTACCTCAATCTGCTAAGAGCCATCTATGAAAAACCAACAGCCAATATCATACTAAATGGTCAAAAATTGAAATCCTTCACACTAATATCAGGAACAAGATAAGGATATCCACTATCACCACTCTTCTTTAATATAGTTTTGGAAACATTAGCCACAGCAATTAGACAAGAGAAAGAAATAAAAGGAATAAAGATAGGAAATGAAGAAGTCAAATTGTCATTTATTTGCAGATGACATGATACCCTATATAGAAGACTCTCAGAACTCCACCAAGAGTCTTCTAGACTTAATAACCAAATTCAGTAAAGTAGCTGGATACAAGATCAACACACAATAATCAGTAGCTTTTCTGTAAATGAAAAACAGACTCACTGAGAGAGAAATGGGGCAATCAATACCTTTCACAATAGTATCCAAAAAACTAAAATACCTAGGAATTAAACTAACAAAAGAAATCAAAGACCTCCTCTCTGAAAACTATAGCACTTTGAGCAGAGAGATTGAAGAGGATATCAGAAAATGGAAAGACATCCCTTCTTCCTGGGTGTGAAGAATCAACATAATGAAAATGGCTATACTTCCATAACTGCTATATAGATTCAATGCAATCCCAATTGAAATCCCAGCAGCATACTTCATGGACCTTGAGAAAACAATCCAACAATTCATTTGGAATAAGAAGAGACCTAGAATAGCAAAAACAATTCTAGGTAACAGAGACATGGTAACAGAGACATAGGTAACCCCCAACTTGAAACTATACTACAAAGGTACTGTGATAGAAACAGCATGGTACTGGCAAAGAAACAGACCTGAGGACCAGTGGAACAGATTAGAAGATGTCAGAACAACTCCAGACACACTCAGCCGCCTCATCTTTGACAAAGGAGCCAAACGCCCTCACTGGAGGAAAGATAGCCTCTTTAATAAATGGTGCTGGAAAAATTGAGTTTCAACTTGCCAAAGATTAAAACTAGACCTATGTCTCTCACCATGCACTAAACTAAAATTGAAATGGATTAAAGATCTAAATATTAAAATAGAAACGCTGAACTGGCTGGAACAGAAGTTAGGTAGAACTCTTGAAGAAACTGGTGTAGGAAAAGATTTTATGAACAAAACTTCAGTTGCCCGTGAACTAGCAGGAACAATCAACAAGTGAGATCTCTTCTTTTTTTTATTTTTATTTTTTTGGTACCGGGCATCAAACTCAGGACCTTGTGCTTGCAAGGCAGGCACCAGAACCACTGAGCTAATTCCCTGGCCCAGGATCTCTTCTTATTAAAAACCTTCTGCACAGCAAGGGAAACCACCGATAGTGTGAAGAGACAACCCACTATGTGGGAAAAAATTTTCACCTGCTGTTCCTCAGACAAAGATCTACTATTTAGAATCTACTTTAAAAAATCAGACCTCCCAAATTTAAAGACCCAATCCAAAATTGGGCATCTGAAAAGGACAGACATTTCTCACACAAAGAAGTAGAAATAGCAAATAAACACATGAAAAAATGTTCAACATCGCTGGTCATTGGAGAGATGCAAATGAAAACAGCACTGAGATTCCACCTCACCCCAGAAAGAATGGCTGCTATCATGAAATCAACCAATAACAAATGGCGGGGCAGTGGGGAAAGAGGAACCCTGCTCCACTGCTGGTGGGAGTGTAGACTGGTGCAAGCACGGTGGAAATCAGTATGGAGATGCCTCAGAGAACTAGGACTAGAAGTCCCATTTGACCCTGCTATTCCCCTGCTGGGTGTCTTTCCCCAAAGAATTAGAAGAATCATACCACAGTGATCTATGTGCACCCATGTTCATACAAGCACAATTCGTGATAGCTAAACCTTGGAAGCAACCCAATTGCCCATCAACTAGAGACTGGATAAAGAAAATGTGTTTTTTTAAATAAAATGGAGTATTACTCAGCAATGAAGAATGAGAAACTAGAGACATTTATAGCTAAATGAATGCACATTGAGGCAATACTCGTGAAGTAAATAGGACACACGTGTGTAAATATCAAATAGTTTCTTTAGTGTGAGAAACTGAAAATGTAAATAAGGACTAAAAGATATAATAGATAATGTGAAATAGGAAGAATAGGTGCGAAGGGGAAGTGTCAGTTGCAGGGGAAAAGAAAGAAGGGAATGGAATTAATATGAGAAAAAGAAAAATAGAAACAAAGTCTTTGTAGATAGGGAGGGATAGAGTAGTTGAAGGGAGGGCAGTGGAATGGGGAAAAAATAAGAACCAAGATGGATTATGTAAAGGTGCAAATTTCCAGTGATGAATGCCATTATATTGTACACCTAAAATGGACCAAGAAAATTAATAAAATAAATAAAATTCAGTTGGCAATATCTATCAGGGACATTAGCAACAGGTGGGAGTCTAAAACCTTTTAAACAAAGACCACAGTAATTGAATGAATGGGTTTACATAAAGGGATCTAGGCACACTATGGCAATTATGCCATCAACTACAAGCTATGTGCCCAAACACGTGATTGTAACTTCAGGACTGGAGAGCTACCAAATCCACTGAGAGGATACATTTGATCCTCTTAAAGCAGGCAAGTAAATGATCATCTTGTAAAACATATTAAAGTCCAAAAGCAAATGCTTCTTAGTTTAAAAGACAGTGATGCCTTGGACAATAAGGACAAGGGCTCCAGAGATAGTTACTGTGGCCAATCCATGAAAAAAGTCAGTCTCCTCCTATGTGCAAACCCCTGGGTTTAGGTTTCAGAGGACAATCGCTAAAATTGTTCTTTTACCTATACACAGAGCCCCTCACTAGTCTATCCTGTCATGATCATGGCTACTTCTACATATCACAGTTTCATGAACAAAACCATACTCAATGCTCTTGGAATTGCAAACCTTTACTTATAAAACCATTTTTAAATAAATGAAACCCACCATGAGTTAAAATGAAGCCCATAAAAGCCTTTGAGTTATAAAAGCATGAATTCACTAGACTGTCCATTTGGGGGGGTGCATCTAGAAGCAGAAAATTTTATTTTCTTATCTAAAGACTTCAGGACCTTTGAAAGAAAGGGAGCTCTGATGAAACTGAAAGAATAGGTCAGCAAACACAATAACATGTATGTGTGCCTTTTCCAGTCAGTGTTTGGTAGGTCAAAGAATATCAGCGAAGGATAAATCATCTCTGTGTGAAGCGTAGAAATACTGACACAGAAACAAAGATGGTTGGAAACTTCATATTCTTTGGTTCTTTGACCAATCAAAGGTCTTGTCTAGTCAACATTTGAAGTAATTTTTCCCAGGGGCACTATTACTATTTGACAGGAATGAAACAGTAGCATTCTCAAAATACATTTTCAACTTTTTTGAAACTCAAGATATTTCCCTTGATGTAGTGGCCATGTTTTTGGATGTATTAAGAAGTGTGAGCAACCAGAGGCTGTCACATCCTCATTCATCTTCATGAACCTTTTGGAAAAGGACTAAAGCCAAATCTGGAGAAGTCCTCAAACAATTATACCTTCAAATGGCATATATGAAGGAAAGGAAACTCTTAGAAAACTAGTAGTAAGATTAAACTTACAACATTACGTGATTCTACATACGGGTATGAGAGTCTTGGAAAACAAAAGCTCAAATGATTACAAAGACTTTCAAACTGAAGGACAAGAGGCATCTGTGTTTCCTGATAGGATAGCACTCTTCTTAAGGTCAATGACTCAACTAGTTATTATAAAGCATGTTTAGAATTCCTATTATCTAAACCATCTAGTCAACCCAAAAGAAAATAGGTTATTGATGTCAGAGCTGATGAAAACTACATGCTATAAATCTGGCGCCAGCTCTTATTTGGTTTTAGGTACATTTTTTTTCTTCTAAAATGTATTCTTATGCCTCTCGTTCAGAACTGGGAAAACAGTTGTGGACACACTGGCAGCAGAGGACTGCAAAGCTACTTGCTGACAGTTGAAATCATGAAGTTGTTACCATGTTCCAGTGCTTTCATGGGAAACCAGAAGAGGATGAGGGAGTGGACCAAGGCGTTGATGCAGTGACCCCAGAAAACCTGCAGGAAAACAAACCGAGGAAGTCAGCACTGCCAGAACTCTTGACCTCTGTGTGCAACTCACAACAAATCCCGCATTGTGCGGGCTCCTGGCAGTGGTTACGCAGTTCCACGAGACACACGTTAGTTTCAAATTTTAAAACGTCCCTAGAAACACTCATTTCCTTTTTACATATAGATGACTGGACTTTCTCCAGGTAGCAATACTTTACTACATAGACCTAAATATATATAAATTTATACCCACCCATATGTAGACCGACACCTAATCCATTCATATCTGAAAAGTGAGCTACAATCAGTTCTCTGCAGTGTCATAGGAGAGACTATACTTTATAGTCATCCAGAAGAAGAGAATTAGGTCAAAATATTAATAGACTAAAATCGTGTTCTTTTTGAAAGTTTTAAAAACTATTTCACATGTCAGTTCTTTTATGTCATTCTTACTCTTTACTCCTTAAAAATCTTTCCCATTCATTTTTTCTTTCATATTTGAGTTTTTAAATTAATACATGCACATTTAAAAACTTGTTTATTTAAAAGAATGTAAAGTTTAATTTATTCTAAACTATAGTTTCATTAACGTACTTCAAGCATTTGTTCTTTTCCTTTTTCTTTGTAAAGAGCTGGAGATTGAACCCAGGGCCTCTCAACTGCTAAGCCTGGGCTCTACCCCATGGGCCAGCTGGGCTAGACCCCAGCTCTTTCAATCATTTGCATAAGTACTGAGATGACAGAACTTTTAAATTCAGATTAAATTTATTTAAAAGTCTAAATTTGTTCTGGAAACTGTCACACGGTCCTAAGTAGAGGTAGAACAACAGAAAATACTGAAAAACAGTATTAGAAGACAATGTGATCTTTTTTCCCATTTTAAACGTTCATGTTTGTTTTACCCTTTCCCTGACCTCTGTGTAATAAACAAAGTAAATAAGCAAAACCAACAATAAACAAACAAGTTTTCAAGGTGCTCACAACTAAGTGTCAAGGCATAGCCAAGTTCTAGGAAATTTTGTAGAGGTCTGGAAACCTGACACAGATCTGTTCCTACCTACTTCCTACCTCAAAAGGCTTTTGGTTTAAAACTCTATAGAAAATAATTGATGTAAAAATGTAGACACAACAGGTCACATTTTCCCATGAATAGAACATAGCAAGCAAATACTGATAGAATTAGTCATTTAGGTCTCTTTGTGCATGGAATATAGTAGAGTCAGCAGGATGTCTCTTATTTTTTCTCAACGTGAGATGTGTCTCTTAAACTTGCCCAAGTATAAGCCAGCTGTGGAGTATAACTATCATAACATCTGGCTCAGAAAGGCAGCCTTTAGTGGGGGTTCACGCCATGAGGCCTAGAGAGGTGGCCTGCTATGTTCTCCTTACCAAGGCCCAGTAGCTCTACTCATGCAGATGGTGACCACAACCAGCACACAGTATTATAACCAAACTGGGCAACAGACCTCTGTTTAAATCACCTAACTTCTCTTGCACAGAAATGTGGCCATCCTCCCTCCTCTGTGAGTGGGATGCATGTCTTGCCTTTGTGCAATCAGCACTCAACTAACTACTCTGCCACTCTTGGTGTGACTACAGGCTGTGTGACAGGCCCTCCTTGACAATAACTGAGACCATTTGCTCCCTCTCACACTCATCCCAACTCTTGCTTGGTTCTTCTTATAATTACCTATAGAGGATGAGCACCCATTATACAAAAATCCCAAATTCAAAGCGCTCCAAAGTCTGAAAGCTTTTGGGCAATGATGTGATCTCACTAGTGGAAATTCCCGCAGCATGAAACTTTGTTTCATGTACAAAATTATTAAGAGTACTGTATAAAATTACCCCAAGGTATGTGTATATGAAACATAAATAAATAAATTTTGTATTTAGAGTTACATCCTGTTCCCAAAATATCTCATGGTGTACATGCAAATATTCCAAACTCCAAAAAAACTCTGAAATCTGAAACACTTCTGGTCCCAAGCATTTCAGATATGGGATGCTCATAAACCTGTACCTAAATGGATCTTTCTTCTGGTTCTCCAGTCTGGAGAAAATCAAAATCAAAACAAAACAAAACACCCATGAGTGATGCTATGCCTGTGTGTATTTAGTCAATCTTATTGCGTAGCTTAAAAACATTTTCTTTAAAATGAAAATTCCAGCAAGCGTTGGGCAAGCTTCTGACTGGCCTCATCTCGGGGCTGTACGGTAGCATGAGGCTAATCCTAAATCCATGGGGGCTGCCACCCACACTCAGGGAGTCAGCAAGTGGGGTCTTGAAGGCTCTTGCAACACAGATCTACTTCAGAAAGGCATCTCTAAGGCAATGGGCTCTTGAAGGGCATGTGGCAGTCTCGTTGCTTCTCCCATGTTCTCCGATGTTCAAGCATCCAGAATCTCACAGGCAGGAGACGTGATGAGAGTCAAGTCCAGGAGGCAGGGCAACCCTTTCGAGGTGGCAGCTCTGTAACTGCACCCTGTTTACCTTTGTGTTGAAGCCTTCGGCGTTCTGGGTGATTTTGTAGAGCTGTGGAAACCTGAGCATGCTCTCCTGAGTGCATGACCGCTCAAAGATTCCCAGAGTAAAGGGTGGCAATGCAGTGAAAATCTGTGTGGAGACAAAGAGCCATTAAGAGAGGCCTTTCCAATTTACACAGCTCCGTGTTTCAGCCCTCTGAAATGATGACTTAACTTCCAGTCAAGTCCAAACCTGAGGCTTCATGATTCATAACTCCCCTGAAACCTTCCAAACAAAGAAAATAAATGAAAGACCATTTTATTACTGTTAATCTGCGTAAAATGAATACATTGAGAACTAAAAACATAAATATTCGATGAGCCAAGAAATCTTGTTAAATAACAACTACCTTCCTTTGTAGAGTGCAAGTGATGAAGAATCACACACAGTTAGCTCTGGGAAGTGTCGGATTTTCTGTTAGTGTGGGCTGAGGCACAATTTTACAACTTCCCATCCTGTTTTATTCTCAAATTTCAGGAAGCACAAGGTTCCTCATCCATTTATTCATCCAAGAGACATTTATTGTGAATGAATTATGGCACAGTTATTGTGGCAAGCTCTAGGAATACAGAGATTTTAAAACAGAACAAAAGAAGGAGAGGAAGCAGGCCTCTGACTTCCAGAACTCTGTCTACTGCAGAAGTAGGGGAAGGGGACAGAGCACAACAGATACATAGATAAACATATAAAACACAGGGCTCTGCACAATTACTCATGTGCTGGGGGCAGGGAGAGGATGGAGAAGGACAGGAAGAGCCAAGAAATGATTCTTGCATCAATGAGTATGTGACCTGTACAGTAATAAACCTGTAGGATTGCACAGGATGCGAAAGGATTTGTCAGGATGAAGGGTGCCCTGGGAAGTCTTCCTTGAGAAGAGGGAGTTTGAAGGCATCCATCAGCACATGGTATGTGTGTAGGGGGCATGTAAGAGACACAGGACAGTGGCCAGTGGAGGGATAATTTAAGAACAGGAGGGAAAGCAAACAACTCCCGGCCTTTGGGGTTCTTGGGCAGATGGTGCCTTCTCAAGCCAACTTTTACCTTTACTCTATGGGAGTGTGATACCTACACATTTGTGTGCTGAAGAAGAGATTTGAAAGATTTCAGTCTGGGACGTGCTGTGGTCCCCGGGGTCATTCTCCTAGTTGGTTTTGGCATGGTTCACAGAGGATGGGTCATTCACTACTTAGCATCTGTGTCACTTGAGTCCCTACCCACAAAACCAGGAAGCTCTCTAGCCTGTGGAACCAGAGGTGCATCTCTGAAAGAATACTGAAGCCCAGTTATTTGGAGGGTGAGTCCAGAGAAATGAGCCCTCCACACGCCTGTTAGAATCAAGCAATGAGAGGTGTAGTAAGGCCAAACTCTCATGCTCTTCTTCCAGCTGAGAGGAGATAGAAAATAGCCCTGGGATTTCAATGTGTTATAGAGTTCAGGGAGAAGATCCAGAATTGTTGTTTTCAGATAGGTAGTCTACAATTATGTCTATGCAATATATAACTTATTTTGAAAGGAATTATTCTTGCACCTTTAGGTGTCCACTGCTACAGTAAGAAAAAAAAGCTACTGATTGCTAGAATAGAAAAAAGCTATTGATTTTTGTGTGTTTATCATTTATCTAGTTACTTTATCAAATCTGCTTATAATTATAGTGTTTTTCTTTTGAGTTTTCTAGAAAAATGGTTGTATATGGATACATGTACATGATCATATTTTTGTATGCACATTTGTACAACCATAGAAAGTGATCGTTATTTTTCCAGTATTAGTAGTTATTTAATCTTTTGGGCAGATACTGTAAATTCCAGAATAATGTTGAATTGCACTGTGCTGGCAGGCTAATTGACTTGCTATCACTTGACTGGTTTCTTACATAGAATGAGGCAGCTTTAGAATTTTAACATTTATGGCAACATGCTACCGAATTTTATATAGTCTAAATATATTTAATTGGTTTCTACTTCTATCTTTTTAAAAGTTCTTATTTTGGGAATGGTAGCTCGATTGCTTCAGGTACTTCTTTGCCAGTTTTATTTGTTTTCCCTCATATTTTTATTAGTACATAGAGGTGATATAGATTAATGGTTTTCCTTTTAGCAGATTTGTAAATGCACATAACATACTTTTAATCACCTTCTCCCCATTCCCCTCCTAGTTCTACATTTTATTTTGGGGGAAGATTCAATGTGTATAATGTATTTTGACCATATTCATGCATCCTCTTACCCACCCTTATACTTCCTCTGCTGATAAGACCGTATTTTTCTTCATTTTGTGATACAGAATATTTAGAAAGCTTTTAAAAAATTTTTAAACCTTCTGTGTTTCTGGAGCAAATCCTACTTGGTCAAATATTTTATTCTTTTAACACAATGTTAAACTCCATTAGTTGATAGTTTCTTTAAAATTTTTTTTGTGTTTTTAAGTGAGGATTCCTTCTTCAAATTAGGCTGGTTTGTAGGATTTCCTGGAAATTTAGTTTAAGTAACATTAGAGGTGTCTCCTCACTCACAGTATGTATAAAATTTAGCTGAAATCCCTCTGATACTGGTAGCTTTTGTCCTTGGGTGGCCTTCTAGTGTCATTCTTTGCACAAAATTAAATGACACAGAAATGTGAATTAGACATAGAATTGTTCCTTCATGGATTCCCAAAATCTCAGATAGTACCAAACTCTGTATATACTGCATTTTTGACTATATATACATATCTATGATAAAGTTTCACTTATCCATCAGGCACAGTAAGTGGTTAATAAAAAGACTACTAATAGAGGACAATTATAATAATATGCTATATAAAAAGCTAAACATAAATTATTTATTTCTGGAATTTTTCATTTAATATTTTCAGGGCATAGTTGGCTGTGGGTGACCAAAACCTTGGGAAATAAAATTGCAGAGAAGGGGAACTAATGTTATGAGAATCTAATATGATGGTATTAATTCACTGTTGGGGAACACGAAAAATTTCCAACTCTGATTTAATGTTATTTAACCTGGTATGAAAATTAAATTACAAACCAGTAAATTGCTATTTTAACTCCCTTGGGGAATCAAACAGAAAAAAGAATCACAGAAAAAGAAAAGGTAAAATAGAAATATTGCTTAAAGAAAATGGCAAGGAAAAATCCAGTCCAGAAGAGAAGGCTCTTGGCAAATGCTTTTCATATCACAAACTGCCTTTTGCACTGAGTCTCTGGAATGGTCATGACCAGAAAAATATTGATAAATAAGACATTACTGGCAAGCTTGGAATTGAACTAGTATGGATTAGAGAACAGTACTGCATCCATGTTAAAATTTTCTAATTTGTTCATTACACTGTGGTTACACAAGGAAAGATCTTAGCAACCATACACTAAAGTATTAAGCAGTAAAGGGGCATTGTATCTGTAACACACCCAGTTTAGAAATAAGTGTGCATGCATGTGTATGTGCAAGTGTGTGTGTGTGTGCACATGTGTGTGCAAATGCACATAGTGCATGAAGGTACAGAGAGAATGCAAATGGGGGCAAAAGGCTAATAACTGGTGAATCTGAGGAAAATATATAGAGGAGTTCTTTGTACTCTTTTTTGCAACATTTCTTTAAATTTCAACTGATTTCATATAAAAGCTACCAAAACAACTTCCATGGGGAAACTTCCCACCGTGGTCTGGATATGGTTTGAGTACATCCTTAGCTATTCACACGCTGGAAGCATGGTTCCCAGTGCGGTGGTATTGAAGTGCGGAACCTTGAAGAGGCAGGGCCCAGTACAAGGTGATTGGGTTGGGGGTTTCACCCTCCAAAGTGATTCACATAGATAATGTAGTTCTTGCAGTAGTCATTTAGTTCTCCTAAGAGTGGACTGGTACATAGACTGAGTCTACCCTATGCATCTGTTCTCTCCTTCACACAGTTGTTTTTCTTTCTGCTTCCTTCCTCCTGTGTTAGCATGCAGTTAAGGGGGCCCTCACCAGAAATGAACAAATAGAGATGCCTAATCTTGGACTTTTACCCTCCTACACTGTGAGCTAACTAAACATCTTATCTTTAATAGTGTTCAGCCTCTAGTATTTTGTTGTAGCAACACAAAACAATCTATATACCTCCTTGTTCTCATGACGTTTGACTCTTCCAACTCGGGAGACTTGAGGCCACTTCACAGGTCCTTGACCATTTCAACCATAAATGTCTTCCTTACCATCATTTCCTGACTCCAAGACTTCAAGGAGTTAACAAAAAAGCTTAGCCCTCATGCTCTGACATGCAAATAGGACTAAACTCCATCCATTCTATGGGCAGGTGGCATGCATTCCAGCCCTGCCTTTAGCTCTAAAGCAATGTCTCCTAGAGCTCAGTGCCCTACTATAAAATAGGTATGTGGCATGCATTTGTATAATGTGACAACTCTACAACCTTGGCCCTTTCCAGTGGTGAATCATTATGGAGCAATCAGCATCTTTTCCCCAAATAGTTGTGTAAGTTGAACCTACTCAAAGTAGTTTCAAGTCCTGCATAGCTAAAAATTTTATAGCCTGTAACAGTACACACAGGGCAGGCCCTGAAATCCCTGTCTGTGGGGCAGATGGCCAAAGGGACTTTTCTAGCACATGGGCTGAACCCTGCACTCACCACCAGTCATCATTGTCTTTCAGGTCATCAGCATAAATCTGTAATGTACTTTACAGCAGGTAACACAGGCACTAATTGACCATCATAGTTCAAAGTCAAGATCTGAGTCCAGCCTCTCTAGCATTTGAACCCACAAAACTGACCCTTTTTACATGTAAGCTACACAGGAACAAGGCATGGGATGCATTTCAGCACTAAGCACATCTTACACACGGAACTAAGTATAAAAGCTACTCAGAAAAGAGGATTGAGTCCGTGGATGATGTGACTGTCTCTATCTATCTATCTGTCTACCTATCTATCTATGCTGTATATATTTACAGTAGCACCAGCTATCTTACCACATCTGTGAACTTCCATCTGCATAAATTTATGATGGCTGCTTTAAAAGGTAAACTCCCACAGAGCATAGACTGTCAGGGTTAGGATCCAAAGCAAGGGAAAGAATGCAACTCAGTAGGTGGGAAAAGATTCTGGAGTATCTAAAGGACTCAGCTACAAGCACCTTACTTCTTTCTGCCAGTAAAACAAAAATGAAAATGCTAGGCAGTTACTGAGCCATTTCAGCTATAGTTTATATGTATTTGTAGCTTTTGAATTCATCACAGTCAAGTAATAAAAAAACTTGAAAATCATAAATAACAGCAAAGAAGCTGATTACCATTCTTCATGGGTGCCGAAAATCAAAATGCATTGTTTGAACACTAACTGTAGCGGAAAGGATTCTTCCACAAGGATGGATACTCTTAAGAAGAACAGAAAAGACAATAGACCATATATTGTATATTTATATCTATAATTAAGAATCCAGAAATAAAATTCTGAAGTAGAGTAAGTTTCGATGTAGCTCAGAAAATTGAACTGTAGCTAAAAACATGAAATTGTTGTGCAGGCATTTAGTGAGGGTGTAACAAGGGTCTATTACCCAGATATATGGGTTAATAATTTCATGGGGTTATTCAAGAAAGATGTGCTGTGATTGAAACCATGTGTGGAGAGCTGGGCTTCTGCAGGATGTGTTGCAGCAACAAAGGGCCTAAAGATGTATTTGTGCTGCCACTAAGTACACAGATGATTGACTTAGATACACTTTGCAGACATAAACAGTGAAGGAATGCCCCTGAACTTCTGCATGCTATCAGAAAGATGGAGAATGCTTACCACATTGTACAAGCCGATGCACCAACGTTCAAATAAAATCTGCCCAGAAAATCCATTAACAAAGGCGAACCAAAGCTGAAAAGAGAAGAAAAGTTCATGAAGTTTTATATCAATATTGACCTAAATGTCTCCATTCACTGAAGAAGTAGCAGGGAATGTGGACCACCAGCTGGACACAGCTGCTGAGAAATCATGAACCTGAGGACCGAAGCGGTTGTTCTTTTATGGAATATAAATTCTCAGTATCACAAATATCAATATTTTATGGAAAATTTTTATTTAAGACATTTCATTTTTAAGAAGTAATATGGACACGAACACAGAAAAACATTTTAAATTTTATCTAATATGTTTTATATCAACACTCTCACTGACAGGAAGAGTCTCAACTTCATATTTTTCTTTCCTATAAAGTTGATATGGTATGTAAGACTTGTTTTTGTAGAACTTTCAAGTACATAAAAATCATAAATAAAAAACAACAAAAACTCCTATGTTGATTATGCATGTTTTTAGTTCATAAAATACTGACCCTTTTTAATTGGATGTCTACTGCCTCAGCAAATGTCAAAATTCAATAGTAGAAGAAAAACATGCTCGTCATCTTTTGGAGTATCATAGGATGCATAAGTAAATAAAATATCAGACTATTATTCATGTTTTCAAGTGGTCTGTAATTCTAATTAACCAAAATGACAAGTCTGATATTAAAAACAACTGCACAGCAAACTGCCAAGAGTATAATTAGTGTCACATGATAAGGGCATAAAATAATTTTGGAGAAGGAAAGATTACTCAGTTATGATTAGGAGAAGGCACAGAGGCAGTAAGAGTGGAGTAGAAGAAGGGTCAGCCATCAGAAAGGTGGACAGAAGCCAGACTCAGAAGAATGCAAATACAGAAATATGAAATGTGAAATATTACTTATTTAAAATTAAGCTAAATTTATACAATACAACAGGATTCTGGTGGTTTGGGATAGACTTTTAAATATCTCCCCCAAATCACAGACTCTACTTCAGTCAGTAAAAATCTTGACAAACTAAATCCATTACTATGATAGAACTTAACTGGCAACAGAGAACAACTGACTACAACAACCCGCATAGAAATCAACTCTAGCATCAAAATTTGACTTAGTTGGATTTTTCAAAATCACCTCCTTAGTTCCTCCTGACCAAACTTTCTTCAGATAGGAACTGTAACCTGCAGTGCTCTGTACACAACTATACCCATTTATGATACTTAGTACACAGACTTACCAGGTACTAGTGAGGTAAAATTAAATCCTTCAACACAATTGCTAGAAGTTTTCCTTAAACACAGTTATCATCACATCATTCTGTAGTTTAAAAGATCACTAGAATATCTTCCTAAATCCAAGTTAAGCCTGCTGATTTTCAAAAATCCTATTTACTCTTAATTTCAACATTCACCTGGAGAGATCTCCAAGAGGCTTGGTGAAGAAATAATGGGGGACAACTAATAACCAAAATTTCATGGTATGTTCTGCATTCAGAATGTTCTTGTGGCATCTATGCAAATATTAGACATTCCCAACCCCACAGTTTCATTCATTGCCTCCTTCCCATCCGAGACCTCAGCAATCAGTTCCTGAACTAAACTTTTAATGCAGTGAGAACTTGGATCCACATCTGATTCAAACAGATCTGTAAATTATTTCAAGGGGTTCATCATAATTTTCTCAAGTTTGTGTTACACTTCTGTGTTTTCCTTTTCAACAATTAAGCCAACAGTGGTAGATACCTAGTAAACATTTTCACTGTACTGCTTAATCCAATCAATTTGTCTCATTGAAGGTGGAACAGTAGTGGTATTTCTAGGGCTTTCTTATCTTTTTCATCAATTGAAAATAACAAAAATAATTTAAAGCAGAAAAGACAGCCCATTTTCAATAACATGTGAGACAGCCTTAACTAAAACTGCATATAACATAGAATAAATGCTGATAAATATAAGATTAGATCAAATCAAGACAGACAGAGGACAAAGTCCTTTTCAATAAGATGAGATCCTAGTTGTTGATTCTGTGTAATATTTGCTGTGCGAGCAGTGTTTTTTATTTTAATAAAGTCTTCATCCACTATGCCTTCAAGAGTTCTACCTGGTCTATCTTCCAGCAAATTTAGTGATTCTCTTTTAATATTTAGATCTTTGATCCATTTTGATTTTAGTTTAGTGCATAGTGAGAGATATGGGTCTAGGTTTAATCTTCAGCATGCGGAAAGCCAGTTTTTTCAGTATTATTTATTAAAGAGTCTTCCAGTGAAGGTGTTTGGCTCCTTTGTCAAAGATAAGGTGGCTGAGTGTGTTTGGAGTTGTTTCTGCATCTCCTAATCTGTTCCACTGATTCTTGGGTCTGTGTTTTATTTTATTTTATTTTTTGCCAGTCTCATGTTGTTTTAACCACAGTAGCTTCGTAGTATAATTTTAAGTTCAAGTCGGGGATTCTGAATGTCTCCCGCCTTTCCTTTGTTGCCCAGAATTGCTTTGCTATTCTAGGTCTCTTCTGGTTCCAAACGAATTTTAGGATTGTCTTCTCTAATTCCGTGAGATATGCTATTCGTATTTTGTTTGGGATTGCATTAAATCTGCATAACAATTTTGGGAGTATGACCATTTTTACTATATTGGTTTTTCTTACCAAAGAACAAGGGATATCTTTCCATTTTCTGATATCCTCCTTGATCTCCTTCTTCAGAGTTCTATAGTTTTCAATGTAAAGGTCTTACTTTCTTCCTTAAATTGATTCCTAAGTATTTCATTTTTTTTGGTGCTATTGTAAAAGGTGTGGTTTCCCTAATTTCTCTCTCAGTGAGCTTGATATTTATGTACAGAAATGACATTGATTTTTAAGGATTGACTTCGTATCCAGCTATGTGACTGAATTTGGTTATTAAATCTAAAAGTCATTTGGTGGAGTCTTTTATGCATTGTAAAGTCCTGCTGACTAGGCCTACCACATGGACAATACTGCCTTTCTTCCACTAAGCTACAGTGGCTTGTACTGATTCTCAGAAGTATCAAGCATGGATCTAGTTTCACTGTTTTGCACCCAAATTTCAGGCGGTTATGGCAGTGACATTTGTTTAATAAGTCATCTTTATCTCACTTGCTCTTTATCATATAACAAATCACCATAATACCACAAAATTGTATGGTACTTCAGTCACTAGATGTTCATATTAAGTAGAGACAGCTTGAATATTGAAGGATAAAAAAACCAAAGTTTGAAAGCATTAGAGGAAAATAGGAAGAAAGTTATACGTGAAAATGGGAGTAAGACGTCAGAAAGGATAAATTGAAACAGCACAGTTTTATAGAGAAAATGTTAATAAAGTTGAAGAAAATTGCTGGACAATACAAACACAGCTCAATGAAAATAAAGACCTAACTTCCTTAGTATATAAACTGTTCTTATAAATCAGTTTATAGCTACTAGGACAATGGGCAAAGAGTCTGGACAGTGTGATTGCAAAGCGGGGTGGGAACACACTTGAAATACAGGACATCGCATTTTAATTACAAACACAAAGGGATATCATTCCTTACTTATCCTATGGTCAAAGATTTAATTCTGATCACCTGGGGAAATATGTGCTCCAATGCCAGCTCCTAATGCAGCATTGTCTACGAATAGTTTCATGTACTCTTCTTTTGACCCAGTGATTCTAGTGATAGGAATGTACTCTTAATTATACCTTATAGTTGTACTCATGTAGAATGCAACCTGAAAATATAAGGATGTTTGCTGTGGCATTATTTGGAGAAATGAAAAATTAGGCATGAACATACATTTCTAGCTGGTGGAATGAGTCATGGTGCAGCACAGTATCCATTACAGTGGGCTAGATATTGCAGCTCTCACTGGTCACTGAGATATTCTCTCATGTTTGGGAGACTACATGGGTGGTAGGGAGATCAACCAGTGACTATAAATTGAATGAGATGAGGAGCATGTGAAATCTAACCATAGGGGAAGCTGTTGCCCAACCCCAGCCCGGGTTTGAAGAGTGTGCCATTGTATGAAGTGTATAAAATCTTCCAGGTAAGGAAGCTGATGAGGGTGAATGCTATGCCTAGATGAGGTGAGTGGTTTTCTTACCAGGATGGAGGGTCTGGAGTCTGACATATTCACCTGGGAGGGCCTCCTGAACTCTGATACCATGAGAATCCGAGAGAGAGAGAGAGAGACAGACAGACAGACATTTTTGACTCGCGATATGATCTCCCTGGCTCTAGGTACCATGGGAACTGTGACTCAGAAAGAGCCTCAGATGGCTGTGGCAGCAGAGACCTGTGACCACCACAGGTAGAAAGAAGATATTTTAGAAAGTACTAGCTGGAGCTATCTACTCTGTTACCCTGGATGCCATGAAAATCACAGGCTGGATAGACTGGGAGAGCCGGGGCACCACTGGGAGCTGAGAGTGCTGGAAACAGAGAGAGAAGGGATGGACCCAGCTTCAGTGGTTGATGCAGCAGGAGCACAGCCTGGGAGCCCAAATTGAGATCCAGTAGAGGAAACAGCATGAGTACATCCTAAGAAAACCAGAGAGTCCTGAACATGGCAGATTAATCCCAACAACATTGCCAAACAGCTGTGAGATTGTCATCCTAACCAAAAGAGCAGGAATGACTGTCATCGTTATCTTGTTTGTTTTTTGGTATTTTGCTTTGCTTAATTAGTTTAGTTCACATTTGGGTGTGTGGAGACAATTATGCCAATTTGTTTTCTTCTCTTGCTTCAATAACATCCTATGTTATTTTGTCATATATCCCCAAATCAGTGACTTCTTCCTAGAGATATCTAATTTTGACTGTTCAACAACTGAATATAATTTCCTTATCTCTTCTCTCACCTCCTCTTTATATTCCCTTTCTCTTTCTTTATTTTTCTCATATACTTTCTTCTGTCTCTCTGCTCTACTCCTTCTTTTTTCTTTTCCCCCCTTTTACATAGATACTATTGGTATTAGTCTGAATATCATTAGTGTTTCATTTTTCTAGTCTATCGTATTTTATTATTCTTCTTGTCTTAGGTTAGCAAAATA